GAGCAATTAATGCCGTTTTCCCTTTTTGGCTAACAATTTCCCATGAAAATCCGAGGGCTATCTTCGCAGCTCACTGACGAGTCTAGCCGATAACACCGGGACGAAACGCTATTACCTTACCGACCACGTTCTTTCCTTCCCACCTCACGAGTTTGTGAGCCTTGGCTATAGCTCGCTCTCGTTTTTCTCAATCTCTTGTTTCGCATCACGACAATACGCGACGAACGAAAACGACCATTCGACATCCATCGAAGAGAAATTACGCTTGATGGTCTTTCTCTCATTTCAAATAGCGAAATGTAATTCTAAATCCACGGCTAGCTCGAAGCCACGGCTGCCATCTGATGTCAACTTAATCAACCATCTATTTTTCTGTTATTGATAATTATAATTTAATTGTAGTAGCATTAAAATTATAATACTCCAAAATAAAAAGAACATTCTTAACGGATAACTCAGTTTATTTTTAAACCCCATAATTAACAAAAACATTTATTTATATTTCGGTAAATTTTATTACATTGCACTCTTTACTCTATAATTTTACGAATTATTGACACTCTGGTATAAGAAGTTAATTACATAAGGAAGTTGATTGTAACACTGATTAATGTAATACATGCTGTAGTGCTCCGGCGAGCTCACGAAGATTGTGCTACTTATTATTTCATCGGATGGACATTAACTTTTTTTCGTCATACTGGTTTGCTGTGTAGTTGAACACTATCAACCAGTAAACAGTGACTAATCGTTCGACGAGTAAATCCAACCGAATTTAAGAAAGTCTTGTTCGACGTTTAATGCGATAGACTATAGAAAAGAAAACTAATGGAGAATATATCTCTACGCCCTAGCGTTTACAATTTTTTAGTAATATTTTGTATGCGTTTCGTTTGTAACTAACACGTCGATGTACACTTCCCTCATACCTAAATAAACCTGATTGCCAATCAATAAAATAAAAGAATAATACAATACAATTTTTTAGTTATAAATTTATTAACCCTTCTTATACAAAAAATGGTATAGAAAATGACGATAGTATTACAAATGAAGGTACACAAGGAATGTCGTTTCTCCGTGTTTTTCTCTTATTCAAAATAATCGAGTGTATTATTTACACAATATGGGTATAGTTTACGTAGTTTTAAAAAATATAAAACCTAACACTGTTGAAAAAATGTCTTAAATTACAGAAAATATGGTCTTTCTCAAAAACTTAATTTTTCTTCAATCTTATAGCAATCACAGTCCTTTATGTAAGAATTTATATACAAAATTATATAACATGATAAATCTAGCTGTTAAATCAATCATTTGATTTAAATTTCTTCTTTTTCTTATGTTATATTTACATATATGTTTTACATATATATATATATATATATATATATATATATATATATATATATATATATATATATATATATATATATATATATATATATATATATATATATATATATATATATATATATATATATATATATATATAAATATATGCCATATAAACATATTATATATCACAGTCGTTAATATAAGAATTTATATACAAAACTATATTACATGATAAATCTATATGTTAATCCACTGTTGATAGAGATTTGTTCTTTTTCTTCTTTTTCTTTTCTCCAGGTACTGTTTCTTCTATTACTGTAGGATCTTGCTCTTCAACTTCTAGTTGGCTGGTCTCGGCCTCTTCTAAACGGTTCTTCTTCTTTTTTTTCTTCTTTTTCTTGCCTTCTGGAATTGATTATTCATATTTCAGTGAATGGTCAAAGACAAATCATTGAATTAACGATATTATTACTGTCGATCATATTAAATCTGGCGATATTCTGGAGCAAAGAAATAAGAGAGTGACACAAAAATACTATAAATAAAATCGCATAACGGATTGATTTATTTTGAATAAAGGACCTGATGAGATTGGAAGACAAAGTAGCGAAACGTTGTCATTAATAAATTGAGCGGAGATAATTTTTATGTATAGTATTTAGGTGTCACTTTCTTATTTCTTTGCTCCAGAATTTCGCAAAATTATTGAATTGACTGTTTTTCGATGAGCTTAGAAAAATATTGAAAAATAAAAAAAATAAAAAAAAATAGAATAACTCTTTAAAAATGACTAACATTTTTTTTATGATAAAATTAAATTTTTATTATGAAAAGTACTAACCTTCTCCACCTTCAATTTCCATCAGTTTCCTCAAGCTCCTGAGCCTCCTCTTCAGCAGTCTCTTGCTTGGCCTTCTTCTTCTTTTTCTTCTGAGGTATGTTTTCCTCGGCTTCTTCTACTTTAACTTCAACTTCGACTTCCATTTCAGTTTCGTTTTTCTTTTTCTTCTTTTTGGGAGCTTCAAAAGTCTCAATGTCACCAACTTCTTCAATTAGTGGCTTCTCCTGAATTTGTGAATACTTCCTCTTTCCAGCTGGTAATGTCGTATCAGCAGAAGCAGGATACTCGAGTATCTCGCTTTTACAATGAAACTTTTCAAATTTAGCTTTAGCTTTAGCGGTGCCGCTCAATTTTCTCAGGTTACCTTCCTCAAGTAACCTGAGCCGATTTTCGAGTTTGACTCGATGTTCGGCTCCCAATTCAAAATCGGCGTCTTCGCCGAGAGCATCTACCCTCGTACAAAGTGCAGCTTTGGCTGCTAGCATACGCGAAATTTTACCTTTATTTCGCGTCGTAGCCTAGCAAAACACATTACAAATATGAATAAGCAATATAGATTGAATGATTATGAAAAATCTTAAAAATTTAAATACAGCTTACCTGACCAACGATTTGTGAATGGTAAATAAGACCGTACTTTGGCGTGTCTTTTTTGGTTTTGAGGGCTCGGAATAGAGCTTTTTCAGCACCTAGGATTTGTAAAGTGGAAGCTGGATGTTTGGCCAGATTGATGAGAGAACCAGCATGAGAAATCAGACGAGCTCCAACCAAATCACCTACAAGGACTGTGAGATTTGGAGCCATGGCCATCATTCGTGTTTTTAGGTAATCGTATAGCTGTGCTCTATACGTAGAAATTTCAATCACCTAAAATATAATTAATAAGTTAGAATAATGTCTCGTGTACATCAAACTCAATTACTGCATTTACCTGATCACACAACTGTTGAATATTGATAATATCATCATGGGAAATTTCTGTTCCCATCGATGTCTCAGCAGCGCATTTAACCTTTTCTTCAACTTCCTCTGACAGAATATCAGAAAAATCCGAGGTGACTGCATTTTCCCTCGTTCCAATCAGTTTTACTGCCTTTACGAAAGCAGTATTATCTGCAATAATTTTTCCTAATTCAGGAAAATGCCAACCATACCTAAAATCAAAAAAATATTCAATAAACAACAGCAATTAAATTTGAAACTATTGATAAGTTCATCGAAACCAAATACTAACCATTCTCTGCATCTCATAACATAATTGTTCAGTTCCTTGTCAAGATCATCCAGAAGACTGACAGCTTGGACGATCATAGTATCAATTTTATCTGGAGAAAATTTTAGTTTATACCTAGACAGACTGTGGGCTAAGCCTAAAGCCATAGCAGCCATTTCTTTTTTTGGTAAGCCAACTAATAAGCTATCTAATTGTGTGCGAATGCACCTCATAAGTTCTTGTACTGAACTATTGCTCAAACATGCCAAATTTAATTTGGCTTTTATTGCATTTCCAAGCTTGGCATCTGCCACAGCCAGTTGCTCCTGGACTTCGGAACATTGCCTTTTGAGCAATTTTTTCAGAGATTTGCATAATTTGCCTTCGACTGCTGCAGTCGTGGCAGCAAGAGCTTCTGTAGTATCAGCAAACTTTTCAAAATGTTTTAGCTTTAGACTAGAAAAAGTATGTTAATTATAATTGAAAAAAATATTTGTTTTCTTTTATTTTTTAATAAATTGACATTTTGTTTTTACTTACACTTTACCAGCTCTTTCAGGGGTTTCAAAGTCAAGATAAAGGTTATCTGACTTCGAAAGTTTATTTTCGTCCAACAGCTGCAATAATAAAACAACATCAACCATTATTACGTATGGTATATTTTAATCTAATAACAATAGCCGACTTTGTTAATAATTCATTTATAAAAGGAATATAAAATTATGCTATACAAAGGAATACGTGTGCATTATTGAGGGTTAAGTGAAGGAAAAGATATGAAAATATTGTACCACTGACCTTGAAAATGGCATAACCAGCCGGAGTTTCGAAAAGAACTAACATTTTGAAAATTTTTTAAAATAACCACTCAGCTTTTCATTTAAAAATAATAACAATATACTTAATACAAACACACAGCACGTGTGTTCTCACTACCGAGACGCCGAATCGAATGCCGATGCACCACACCGTTCCATCTTCCATGTAATTCAAAACCTACGGCTAGCTCGAAGCCACGGCTGCCATCTAGTGCCAACTTAATCAATCATCTATTTTTCTGTTATTGATAATTATAATTTAATCGTAGCAGCATTAATTAAAATTATAATACTCCAAAATGAAAAGGACATTCTTATCGAATAACTCAGTTTATTTTTAATCTCCATAATTAATAAAAACATTTATTTATATTTCGGTAAATTTAATTATTTATTTTTAAAGGATAATTGATACATTGATATACTTACTGACTTTCAACTTAAATGAAAGAAAACAAAATAAAAAGTTACACTCACTAAATTAATATTGAAATACAATTATTCCAAATTATATAGCTTTAGTAAATGTGATTTTTTAGATCGTTGTTATTAAAGTTAATTAACGTATTAAAGAAAGAAATGATTATAAAAAATCTGAAATTTTTTGTCAAAGTTCATAAAATATTTTATGTAACAAAATAGAAAATATGCCTTAATCTCAAAAAAATCTGAAAAAATGAAAATGAATAAAAATAATATAATTTAAATGCTTGAAAAACTTAGAATTTCGATACGTATCACAGAGCTAACTTCAAGTTGGTTTTATTGATTTTTCACGTGACATTGGCACTCCTCTCACGCGCACCAGGCCAGAAGTGCACAAGTCAGCTGACAACTGTACTCATATCCAGTTATTCCGCTCGTCCTCTTGTGAAAGTTTTGTTGAACAAGAATCCAACGCCCATCAACAAAAACCATGGCAAGTCAAACTCAAGGTATACAACAACTGCTTGCCGCTGAGAAACGCGCAGCTGAGAAAGTGTCAGACGCGAGGAAACGCAAAGCTCGCAGATTGAAGCAAGCCAAGGAGGAGGCTCAGGAAGAAATTGAAAAGTACAGACAAGAACGCGAAAAGCAATTCCGTGAATTCGAGGCCAAGCACATGGGATCCAAGGAGGATGTAGCCGCAAGAATTGATGCTGACACTCGAGTTAAGATTGAGGAAATGAACAGTCAGTTGTCCCAAAATAAGGACCCTGTCATGCACAAGATTCTCGAGCTGGTCTACAACATCAAGCCCGAACTGCACAAAAATTACCGCATTGAAGTAGCCTAAGTAATTTCCACTTTAATTGCTTTAGCACACAATTGATTCGAGTATAGATTATTATTTTGCTTTTCTGCAGCATCAATCGTCATAGTAGTATGTATGTACTACTACTGTTCGCAGTCTAAAATCAAGTATTAACTGTTATTGTGATTCATCGAACATAAAAAAGAAAATGTATTTCAGGAGTGCTTATTGTTGCACTTATGTTCAAGATAATGTATGTACAATGTTTGATCTTGTTATATTTGAAAAAAAAAACTTATTAAGAGTTATTACTTATCCTATATTGTACAAAGATTGCTTGGAATTATATTTTCATGTATTAATCACAACAATCTCGTCCAATAAACAGGTGTAAATTTGTCAAGCATGGTTTTTGATTACTAATTCAACAATTATATTTACTTTGAACATTAAAAATGTCTGTTGATTTATTTATTAATATTTGTGTTTTGTTGACAAGTAATATCAAGATTTTTTTATGATTAATATTTCTAACTTACAAAATATTGATGTCACTACTGTTTTGATAACCTGTACTGAAAAATCCAATAATTCTTCAATTATAATTCATTGAAGTTTTAACATGGATGCTCAAGGTTACATGTCACTATCTATGTCTATCGTGTATTAAATTTACAAATGAATCAGATTTAATTGAAAAATTGAATCAATAAAAAAGTAAAACTTTACTATGTATATATACACATGTCATGATAAATAATCTTGAAAAATATAATCTGCATGTAAATAATAAAAAAAGTAAGTGTGGTTATACGTATTATTTGTCGGTAAGTATAATTTCGTCCATAGCCACATTTTTCAATTGGGTCCAAATTGTTTTTAAATTTTAATGAAAGGGTAAATGAAATGATATCAAATCACTGGTAGAATATGTGTTTCTTGATACTTTTCCATAAACTTTTGACAAATGCATTTCAGAAGTTTAACTCTGAGAAATTCGTATTTCGTGTGATGTTTTCGTCCGAGCTTGCGGAAAAACGTGTACTATCCGCAAGTACAGCTATGAAACAAGATTCTTCTATCGCATTTCCTGCAATAGTTTAAATCATAAAACACTATATACAAATAAATTTCCACAGTCAGTGTTTAAAGATGTATTTTCATAAAATGAATCGTTTGTTACACATTAATGTACAAGATTTCTTTTTTTTTTTAAATATTTTATACAATAACTCGTCATTTAAAAATTCAGTCTATTATCTATTATTCACTAAAGCGTTACATTGTTACACTTTTTTTTTTAAATTCCACTTGCGACAATGTAAAAAAACGTATTGCACCACCTGCGACGCAAGAGATATCCCATCGCGTAAATGCTAACTTTATAACAAATACGCTTACTATTAGAAAGAAAAAAGTTAGTTCGTATCGCTGGTGCCATTCGAAACCAAATTTTCATACACCGACACTGTCCTCTTGCGACGAAAATGATATTCCATATAAAAGAAAAAGAACATATAAAGATTAGTTAAAAGTTGTGCGGACGTAAATTTATACAGTATACGTAGGGGCTATATGCAAAGATAAATAAAGAAATACACGCAGCGCAATCGTAATAATGAACTGCGTCAGGAAATGAATTGCGCTGGAGTAATTTCACCGCATGTAATAAGTAGGTGTGCTTGAAAACTTAAAAGGGTTACGCGCGAACGCGCACGCGAAAACATCGTTCGTTTCTTCATTGCGAGTTGAAGCGCACATTGACAAATCGCATGCTCGCGCCGTATTGCGCGTTACCGAACAGTTTCTCGCGTCTGCATATGGATATTACACGCGAGTCTGCGATTAAAGGTCTGGAAACAAACGTAATTGATAGTTAAGGTTTGCTCGAACGTGGTCCGTTTGGAATACTGGAAATCATCAGTATCATTAGTCCGTTGCTGGGATTCGAGTGAATAACCTGAGGTCGATTGTCGGGAAGGTAAAAGGCCATTTTTTGTTTAATTTAGGCCACAATTTTAATATATATGCGGCTGAATGAGGATAAAGCAGAGGATTATTTAGGTGTACTGAGGCACTGCATATTGTGATAACGCTTAAGACCTAATAATGCTAGTAGTTGAGTGTGTGAACGGCGTCACACCTACTCTCCGCAATATACACTCGATTAATAATTATTTTGACTCATGCTGCGACTGCATCTCTTTTAACACCCCATAAAATACTATGTAATAACTATAAGCTCTTCATTCTCAACAGTTTTTATAATTATAGCTTTCGCATCGTTGATAGATGAACAATCGAGTTTGGGAAAACTTGGCCAATTGAAGGAAGAAAGCGATGATTTATTACGGGCAGTTCCCACGAACGAAATGGCGAATCGGCAGTTACAATTAATTAATTCATTAGCTATATGATCGTAGTACAGTATGCTGCTTTTCTCCTTAAATTCTACGTGAACTTAATTTACAAAACAGAGCACGGCATCTTGAACGCACACAGATACACGCACACGCACGCACATACATGAAAAGTCGTGCTCTGAAAGACGAAGACGAAGACGAAGACGAAGACGAAGACGAAGACGAAGACGAAGACGAAGACGCAGACGCAGACGCAGACGCAGACGCAGACGCAGACGCAGCACACTCGAAGCACAGGCACGTCCGCGCGAACGAATCACTTGGCGGAGTAGTGCGAGCCGATGTTCGACGACGGGCCTCGATGATGGTGATGGCGCTGGTGCGCCGGTCCGGAATACCGGCTGCCAGGTCGCGAGTGTACTATCGCGTAATGATCGCTGTTCGTCGAGATCGAGCGCGTCGAGTTCATCGTGGAGCCGCCCGATGTGTAGCCCGCGTTCACGTGCGGCTTCCCGTTCAGCGAGTACCTGCAAATTCATCGTTAGTCCTTGAGCACTGCGCTCGGGCTTCTCTCCGACTTTCGACTTTCGGCGTCGCGCGCACCCAGCGACGGTAATTACGTGCGTCACGATGGTTTCTCCTCGAACCTCGTTCCACGCCCGTTTGTTAATGTACCTTGTTAAATTATGCATGGCACACCCGTCTCGCGAGAGATTACCATTAATGTGTTAATTTCGATGCGTTCTATCGTCTACGTTAAAACTCCATGCGCCATTGATTTAATACACAATTGAGTACCGTCGTAAGAGGTACGTTGCTTCTCTAGAGCTAATATCGATGAGAGATGTCGTTAAACGATTGCGAAGCGTAGTTAACGAATTAATCCACAATGGAAAAGTAAAAAGGCTATTTGAAGAGACTTCCAGAAAGGAGCATATCGCAAAGCTTGCTTTCAGCTTGTCAGCCAAATAACGGTCTCTTGAAATGTCTTTGAAAAGCGCGAGTCACATGAACGAAACAGACAGTAATTATAAAATAGATATATAAGAGAAAACACAATCCTACCGTGCTATGTCAAGATGCCATAGCGGATAATACCGGTTGATTCGTTTTTCGAATTGCTTTTTTTTGCGGGTGTCATTTGTTTTAGAGAAATCATGAAGATCTAAGAGTGTCAAACCTCGAGCCGTATTGGGAGCCGTGCCAGCTACGATATGGATCATAATCCTCGATGATCGACGGCTCCTTTTCGATGATTTCCGTGCGCGCGCAGCTGCACGTCATTGCCGAACACAGGAACACGTTGATTATGAACATTATCAGTAGCAATATACCCAGAGCTATTGCCAGCCATAATAACCAGCTCGGGTGGATTCCACCGTCCTCGCATAATGGCGACAACACTGTAGAGAGAAGCAGTCAGCGTTTGCTTTTTCGTTTCCTTTCCTCGCTCTGTCGTCGCGCCACTTTTAACTTTTAACGATCGAGATCATACCGCGATTGCTCGATAGATTCATAAGGATCGAATATCAATTGCTCTAGAAAACGCCGGTGTATAATAATTCAATTTGCGCTATTACGAAAACTCGTCTAATAATGCCGAAAAACAAACTGACTTTTCGAGTGTTCCCGTAGAACAAGAAAAAAAAAATAGAAAAAAAAATCTTTAAACTACGCTTTCCGCGTGCCTCGTGACATAACTCGCGCGGACGACTCGTAAGAAAAAGCAATTAAACCGTCGTCAGACGGCAAACACGCGGCAAAGAAGAGGAAAGAACGAAAGGAAGCAAAAAAAAAAAAGAAAAACGCCGCGAGATAAGGTGCGCTCCAGTTGGACTTACTGGGCATATCACCGGGTTTCAGAACAAACACGCTGGTTCCGGCGTGCAGCGTGGCCTCCTCCTCTCTGGTCGACTGCCCCTTGCCGCTGCCTTTCAGCGCGACGGCGTTCTCGTCGTTGTCGCAGAGCGGCTCGCCGCAGCTCTCTGCAACACGATCCAGCCGGCGGGGCTCATTCGAGGCGCTGTCGAGCCCAAGGTGCCTACTTACCTTTGCAGAGGACTATCTCGCACTGGAGGTGCAGCTGCTTCTGCTCCTCGGAGAAGCGGAACGCGGAGAGCGTCGCCTCGGCGGTGCCCGCGCCTCGGTCGTACGCGAACTTGGATATGAACATCGCTTTGTCGGGACACCTGCACGCGCAACACAGAACGCACGGTCAATATTGCCGTTACCGAACGCCGCGCTGAACGCGCGTCGGCGACTCACCCTCGCTCGTCAATGATGGACACGTTGTGGTTGTCGGTATCGAAGCCGAGGCATGATTTCACTTTGAAGCCGTAAGTACCTGCAATTATCGAGCATTATTCGATGATCGCGGCGTTAATGCGCTTCTGCGAAGCGATCGGCCCGCGGAATCCTCGTTCGCGATCGCTTCCGTGGAACCGATTGAGCATCGCTGCTGACGACCGATCAAGAGTGCGTTCGATCGGTAGCGGTGCCGTTCTCGTATAAAACAAATCATAAAATGAGAAAAGAGTGGAAGAAGAAAAAAGAGCCGTGCAACGCGCGAACAACGAAACGTCGACGCCTCGCTCCGTACGCCGGTGCGATCGCACGCGATAGCAACGCGGCGGAGCGCTGACGCGCGAGTTTCGAGGCCAGAGAGAGAGAGAGAGAGAGAGAGAGACGATGACAGCAAGCTCGCCGAACACCGTACTTGGCCGCAGAGGCTGCTCTCTCACTGGCCCCGAGTATGCGTGCGCAGAGCTGGACGTACCGTCGAGCGGCGAGATCTCGGCACGCAGGGTGTAGTTGTGTCCGAAAATGGCCTCCTGCACTCGGCGCCCGCCCTCGAGCAGCCTCAAGGACACCAGCGACGTCTCGTTCCTGCACAACATAGAGCAAGCATTTGTCCATCATCGTGTCCGACTCCTCGACGCACCTTCGCGCGCCCGGAGAGTGCAGTCGTTAAGGTCGACGCGCCGTGTTCCATTTTTCTTTTTCATTTTATTTCGCGCGCGACGCGTCTTCGTTCGACCTTCCGCTCTCTCTCTCTCTCTCTCTCTATCTCTCTCCGTTTCTCGAGTCGCCAACGCGGCACACGTAATCGTCCGCGAGGACTTACTAGCTCTCTTCGTGTAACGGCTACGAGCGGAGACCAGTGATATCGCGCGAGACGCTTTCTCGATAAACTTCGATTACGTTCGGTCCAAGCCGGGGAATGTCATCTCGAGGCAGCGAGTCGCGCGGACTTGAACTTGATTAATCGCGCGCGCGGCGTTGGCGCACTTGGCGAACCGTCGAGTGGACGTTCGAACGCGAATCGATGTACCGTCCGAGTTCGCGGAGTCGCGCGAGAGCCGTAACGCAAAATTGCAAAATTACAGAAGCCGCTATCGCCGTCGTCTCGCAACCCGTTGACGCCGCAGAAGCTAATCGGTTTCCCGAGCCATCCCGAGCCGCGAACGCGAACGGACGCGAAACTCGAGCGACCCGAGGCATGGCGCGCACTTTCTCCCCTCGGCTATGCGCTCTCGCGCGGTCGCCTTCCGATTTATCGTCTCGCGCGCGTTTTTCGGCGGACAGCGACGAGAGCGAGCGACAGAGAAAGAGCAAAAAAACATACAACGCCGGCGCGTGAAAGTCGCGAACGCGTGCGCGTATTACCTGGCATTCCTGTACTTGGTGTTGCCACACGTGATTACGTAAAACTTGTCCTCGGCCAGCTCGAGGGTCTTGTGTATCCTCACCGCTATCGAGAGCGAACGCTCGTCCGTGCGCTGCAACAACAACAACGGCATAAGAAAAATGAGATATCAAGTCGATCGATGACTTCGATTAATCGTAGCGCGCGCGGCGCTCAATTGCGATATCGTTTTTTTTTGGTCACGAGTGAACCGATATTATTTCGTGCCAGGAGAACGAAGCATTATTCGATGGATTATTTAAATTAGTGGATCTGTCGCTGCAGGTGGGTGCGTTTGCTTGTCATTGTGCTAGGCAAATTTTTGTTGTGAAAGTTAGAAAGAAAATATAATAGAAGCCGTGGATAGTATTCCGAATACGCTCAGACAGTAGATTATTCCTTTTTACCAAACTGAATGATACAACAGTACAAATGAAATATGTAAATAACTATGCACAGCTGGATCTTTATTCTCATCAGTGAGCCGGTAAGAAAATACATTAAGAGAGATAAAATTTGTCAGAGAAGTTACGGCTGATGAATCTCTACGGTCGACTGCGATCGTGAGTTACCTTGCATTCGATCTCTTGGCTTATTTTTCAGAAGGAAATTCTCATTGTTCAGACCTCGGATTATTTTCTGATTTTCTACAAAAGCAACCTAACGAGACACGCATACAAGCTCTCGTAACGCGTAACGAACGTATTCATTCCATGCGCGACGAAGCGCCGATACTTTCCCCCGTTAAAGATTCGTGTCGCGGAAAGTGCGCGCGCGCGCGAAACAAAACGGGCTGACAAAAGCCCAACTAATGAGCTCTTAATAATCGCCGATTAGAAACCGCGGGGATAGCCCGCAACAATGGGCGCGCCAAGTTCAGTGGAACGTGGAAAGAGAACGAAGGAAAAACTCGCACGAATAGATATAAGCAACGGTACACCCTTCGCGCATATACATTTCCTCGCTCTTTATCCATCATAGTGTATCGGTGCGCGGTGTAACGGTACGAGGCTGCGCGCGCAGAACATCCGGTACCCCGCTGAGTCGCGCGCGAACGTAGAACGGAACGCGGTGCGAAATTTCGGGGCGAGAGCGAGCGCGACAGTCGCCGTCGGGCTTGGCGTAGCCGTTGCCTCGCGAAAACGAGTTTTCGGCGCACGAGGGCTGGTCGTTTGAAAAAGTGCATACCGAATAAAACCTGTTCCCTCGCTCTCTCGCGCGCGCTCACTCTCTCTCTCTCTCTCGCTGCGCGCCCCGCGGACACGGCCAGGCCTTTTGTTTAGTTTATAACGCCGCGAGTGGATCGACGACGGCGACGTTCGGCCGTGAATCAAGGCGCAACTTTTAAAACGTCTTAAATCAATGATATCTTACGAGCCTGTGAGCCGCGCCAGAGCTTGTAATTATTTGCAGCGACGCATCTCATTTATACTCTGCCGGGACTATATCGAAACTATATCGAACGCTGCGATCGTCGGAAAAGAAGAGAAAAATAAAATAAAATAAAAGAACAAAAACGCTTTTCGCATCGACGAAGCGACGAGAATAACAGGGATTACCATTCTATTGGCGACATGGGTGGCTCGCGTGCACTTTGATCGCTGCTCAATTGCTTTCTTTTTTTATTTTAGAAAAGCCAAGCGGAATTTATCTCCGCCAGCCGGCTCGCTTTTACCCATATCGCCGTACGAGCTAGCGAAAGATCAAATGATCCGTCAGCGTGTCGTGTTAATCGTGGTTCCATTGGAACGTGCTATTTTGTGCTGCGTCGCAGATAAATGAACAAATAAATTTGCTTATCGAGCTTTTCAAGCGGAACGTCCGCTCGCAAAGTCGCCAAGTAACTCACGTTATTCACAACGATTCCACAGTACTCGGGCGACTCGGGCATTGCGAACAGGTCAACGCTGAGGGTGATGCTGCTGGAGCCGTTGCCGCCAACCATGCAGGGTGGCTTGCGAAAGTCCTTGCCGTGGCCGCGCGAATGCAAGGCCCCGACGAAGCTGTGATTGAAGTTCACGCGGATGTTCATGGTGCCTGGCAAGCACGACGCTGTCACCGTCGGCTGGAACTCCGAATCTAACAGCTCCGAGCTTGCCTGAAACACGACGGTGGAGAAAAGGTAACGAAAAACAAAACAAAACATTCAGCTGGAACGAGAAAAAAGTCGTCTCGCGAGGACGATCCTCGTCGGCGGATCGCGCGACGGGCCGCGCGGATAGATCGACAACGCGAGAATTCGTTCCCGCCGTGGCTATAATCGAACACGCCCGTCCGAGATTTCTTCATCGGTCTGCCATCGCGCAGCCGTGACTTTTCGCAGGCTCGACGAATCGCGCGCCAACGCAGCGGGGCACGGACGTCCGAAATTTCGTTGCGCAACCTATTCCGCGCGCGCGCGCACACCATCTTTTTCGCGTACGCGACGAGAAAACGATCTCCTCTCGTTTACGAAGCACCGAGGGTTCGTCGACCCTGGAGCAATTCTTCGTCTCCTCGAGGATGCAGGCAGGTCGATAAACGCCCGACCAAATTTGCGTGCTCGCGCGCACCTCGCGTTTCTTTTTTGAAGCAGGGGGAGAGGGCATTCAATCAATTTCGCGCGCGCAAGACGACCCGCGTAATCGATGAATTTTTAATTGCCGCGCTTGGTCCTTTCGCGCGCCGAGGACGAGCTGCGTCGGGCTGTCGGAACGCTTGGCCGGTCCGCGAGAAAGTTGAACAGCTCATCGGCGAGTCGAGGAGAGCGCGCATTACGAAATATCGGAATTCACTTCTCTCTCGCGTCGTCTGGGCGCTGTAAATCTATGACTAAACAATGAACCGGCCGCTCGCGGGCGTGAAAATTTTGCGCTCGCGACGGCGTAATTGTCTAAACAACACCTCCGAACGAAAAGCACCCTGCACCGCGCGCACAAAGGCATTATATTCATCATCTTCAAAGCAACGATAAATAACGTTTTACGAGGCAGTTTCGGACGTCGTGACGCCCCGGCTGCAATTTCCCCCTAATTGTTCGGTTGCATACTTCAAGAGCCTCTCTCTCTCTCTCTCTCTCTCTCTCTCTCTCTCGTACGAAATCTCGATTGCAACGCACGCCGAAAAGTGAAAAAACTGGGAGAGCGAGAAGAACCGGCTTGCGAAACTTTCTCTCTGCGGCGCGTTTTACTACGCGCGACGCCAGGGCAAAAATGCGTTTTCAATTTCGGACTTAATGGTCGCGAGGTTGTGCGTCGCCCAAATGATGATGACGACGACGATTGCGGTGGTTTTGCGTTTAGACTCGCGCGTAACTCACGGGACGTTGCACCTTCGAGGTGTTTGGAAAATAAAACCAAGATATTTGGGCTTTTCGCGCGACTACAGGGCGAATAACCAAGCGGCAAGGCGCAATTGTCGGAGTTGCATTGGCGAGGCGGCAAAATTCTTTTTCTGTGCGCCTGCGTTATTCGCACGCATGCTCACGGCCGCGAAGCGAATTGCGTCGGAATCGATCCGAATAACAAATTATTACGTCATTTTTCACATTTGTCAATTGCGATCCCTTACTCATCCTATGACAAAGCGGGGAATTACAAAAGGACGCGCGATGGGTATCGAAGCGAAAACGATGAAAGAAAGAAAAAAGTTGCACATAAAGCTCGCGATGCTAGCCGAGAACAGGTTCGGCAGCTTGCTGAATCACTCTCGTAAAGAGACCAACGTGAAAAATTTCATTTGCGCGTCGACGGCGATCATTTACAGTTTTGTTGTGACTCGGGTCGATCCTACGGCTACGCACAAAGTGGCTTTTACATAATGCATGCGTGTTACAATGCAACCATTTTATCTTTTGTATTTTAACAGCTTCTCAAAACCTTTCGCTGCACATAACCAAATGGACTCGTTCAATATTGAATTTTGCGAGCGTTCGTACGAGTTATTCCAATGGAAGCTTTTCCTCGAACGATTATGATGCTAAGCGATACGATCCTTCAACTTACAGCGCGAATAAATTATTAAGAGGGATCTCGTGAAAATTTCAGTATCTCGAGGACTGAGGAGCGCAATGAATCAGAAACAGTGAATCGTCGTGGCTTACGCTCCCAAAGAACTTTTTCTCGAAGGAAAGGAAAAACGAATCTCGCGGTGAGAAAAACGAAAAACGAAGCGCCACTCGCATTTGTCATAACGTCCCGAGAACGTCCCGAAGGCGTCCGCGGGCGAGAGCACCTCGTAAAAACTGCAAAGTGTTATAAATGTATATCAAACAAAAGACGCGAGCTCCTCCGCTCGCCTACAAGCCAAAAGCGAGCGAAGTAACTATCGAGCCGACCTCGGTTTCTCGCCGATGCCCACGCGCGACTTTCGATTTCCAGCCGGAGATTTCACGCGCCGCGCCGCATATATACACGTGTCGCGCCGTAAATCTCGCGTCGGGTTCGGGTTCTGGCGCGGCCGGTAGCACCATAAATCCCAGCTCTAGCCGATGTATTATTCTCGCGCGCGCACGGGACAATGGGGGGAGAACTCGCGCGCGCGCGCGAGAAAGAAGCTCCTCGCTGTAACGCGGATGCGCGTAGCGGGATACGTATACGCGCGTATACCCCTTCGGAGGCGCGTTTGGCGAACTTGCCGAAGGAAGATGCGCGGGCTGACGAATCGTCCGTGGTGAATTGCCGTGTGCGGCTCCTCGCCGAAGGAATTTCTCGCTCGAGATGAAAGAAAAAATAAAAAATAAACAAGTGGCTTTGCGAAACGGTCTCTTACGGCCGGCGATTAACTAATCGTCGACGCTAAAACTTCACGAAACCGCACTTTAGAGAATAAATCATAACCAGACGCATCTCCTACCGAATCCATTGAATGCACAACAGCGCTTTACCTTTTTTTTTCTTTCTCTTATTTCCCACCCTATAATTGGCACGTTTTGCCGCGTGGATTGCCATTTCACCGAGGAGAGCTCCTTCTGCGCGATCGCGTGCAGATATAGAATGCTGTAAGAGCGTTTTAAGAGATCCCCGCGTGTGCGTACGTACCGCGCGCGAGGATTAACGAGGAGCGTTCTCTTTTCTTTTTCCGATCATCGCGGAAACGTGGAATTTCACGCTTCGAGTAGGAGAAAAAAAGATTTTTTTTCCGATTTTCTTAGGCCAGCCGACGCCGTCGACAATCAGATCGCGCTTTTCGCGTGCTTAGCATGTGAACGCGAGTCGTGCATTTCGATAGAAGCAAAGTCATGGTGCTCCAATTTGAAAAAAAAATCGCTTTTTTTTTTTTTATTTTTTCGTTTCGCGAGCCAATTACGTACGATTTATTTACAAATACGTGTAATTAACGTGCAACACCGAAAAATACCTCCTTAAAATTCTCTCGAACTTTTCAAGGCACCACGGTAAAAAACAAGCACGCCAAGAACACAGACACCGCAAAAGGTCTTTCCCTGCGCGAATTCCAGAATGAACGAAAAAGAAAGAGAAAAAAAGAGCATAATTAAGGAGCATCATCTCCGGCAAAGCAAACGACCTCGATGCCGATCACGTAGGCGCGTGTGCGTGTGTGCCTGTCGTTTTATGCTTGCGAAACGAGCGCGAACGCGTAACAATTATCGGCGCGTAGGTTGCTGCGAGCCATAAAAAGCCGCAGACGGATACCTACTTCGCTGACTCCTCCCGTGTGACGATATTCGGGGATATTGGAGTTGCGTATCGCGTTCGGGTGAAAGAATACATTCATTCAAATTAGGCCACTCTCAAGGATGACGAATGTCCTTGCTTTGAGAATGGCGTTTGACGAGCTTTGAAACGTTGAATCGAACGATCCATACTTGTTTTCTTCGCACACGGACGGCACGTGCTTAAGCGCCGATCGCAGCAACAGTGAGAATTTTGGCAATCGCTCGCCTGGTCGATGAAAATTTCGGCGGGCTCGTGCGTCTGTTTCTATAAATTTCGACGGTCAGTCGAAGGAGCGAAGCTTTCACGGGTCCGGATCCGATTGCTCCACACGGGAAAGAGAGACGACGTTGATCCAGTGGATAAATGTCAATCGTGACGACATTCGCGGCCTCCGATGCACACGCGCACACGCGTCGGTTGACTTTCACATTTGCTGCGCACTCTCGCTGCCATGTCATCCGCGTCTGTCTCCGTATATGTAGTTCTTCTCCCGAGAAGCGACAGACGTGAAATCGGGGGTCGTTCGCAGAGCCGGGAAATTACGAAAGCCCGGTAATAAACGACTTTCTCCTGCGAATCACGCGCGTAAGTACCGCCAGACGCGGCGCTCGGTCAAAAAGCAGGGCGCGCGCCTCTCTCGCTCGCGGGACGAGCATAATAACCCGGCAATCGGTGGCTGCGCGCGTCAATTACACGAAAAGGCTACGCAGCTTCGGCGCGCAGTACCGTAAGCTCGGTTCTCAGCTGCGAGGTATCTCGGCCAGTGGGATGCGCGCGATAAGCGCGGCGAGCGAGCCGGTGCCGTCGTCGTCGCTCGCTCCGTGGCCGCCGTCGTCGCAGGGGCGCCGCTTCCGTGGCGCATCGGCGCGCCCGCTGCCCCGACGCGATCGTTGACTCGCGGCGCCGCCGGGCGCACTTCCTCGAGCGCGCTACGCTACGGATGACCCCCTCTCGCCGCTCGTCGTTCTCCGGCGCGCGCGTAATCGTCGTCGAGACCGTCCGCCGTTACTCGTCCTTTTGACGCGCGCGACGAGGAGCGCGGTCCAAGTTACCTCGCCAAGGACGAACAGCAGCAGCAGCAGCAGTAGCAGCAGCAGCGGCGGCGGCGGCGGGCGTGCTCGTCTCCTCTCCATCTCTGGAACAGCGGCTTAATTACCGCCCCGAGCTGCTCGAAAACCTCCTCCTGCGAACAGAGAGCACTCGGCTTCAGAGAGCGATCTGCATCGGTAACAGCCCCGTCACTCGTAAACGTCTCTCGCGCGCTCCTCCGCAAAAGAAGGAGCTTTTTACAAGCGCGGCATGCCCCTCGAGCGACCCACCAGCCCCTTCACCGCCGCCGCCGCCGCCTTTCGAAACGCAACTGGCGCGCTCGGGACAAAGCGACGCTTCTTTGTTACGTGCTGCCGGCGGCTCGCTATTCCGCCCAAGCGAGTGAGACGTTTGGGATGCGCGCGAAAAATCTTGCCGGCCGTATGCTAATGAGCGCAGCTGACCAGGGCTGTCGCCGCGCGATCGAGGAATACGTACACCGACGGTGCCGTGGCGAGTCGATCGGCTGTCGCAATCGATTACTCGATGAAGCGGCCGTCCCGAACTGGAACGCATCGTGACTTGTTTGGGCGAATGAAGGCGTAAAGAGGGATCGTCGTGCGATCTCGATTATCATTAAATTTAATGGACGGACGATTCGAAGGCTTTCATTCGGGCGTTTTACAAGAGCAAAACTAGCCACGTGGAAATCGAATTATCGTTCCGAACAATCAGACGAGCATCGAGCATTTGTCGTAATGATTTTAACGTCTCGATCCTTCGACGGGACCTTCGCTCGAGACAACGTGCACCGAGAGCCAGCGACGTCTTTTCCCGTCGTAGCTCGACGTGCTTTGTGAAATTCGTAACAGTGATTCGGCGCGTTGTCGACCGAGTCGCCAATCGACTCCGCGCCCGAATGCAACGTCAATTTCATTTACTCCAAGAGAGAAGGCAGCGCCAGCAACAATTTGTTAGAGCGATAATAAATTATTGCTCGATGTGTGTCGCAGGCAGCCCACATGGAAAACTATGCTAAGATTAACGTGTTTTGAAAGTAAATTGAGTCATAGGCTTGGGTAACATTCAAGAAAAGATTCATTCATCGAAAAAAAAGGAAAACAAAAAAAAAAAGGCAAAACTGCAAAACCGGTTGTACCGCGCTTACCGCATGCCTATTTCGTTCGGATAGAATAAAACCGTTGCTATAGCCACTTAATTGCAATTAATTACGAGCGCTGTAACAACGTCATATAATGCGCAATGAAGCCCGCGGAGTATATGAGGCGCGCGCGCGCGCGCGCGCGACTGCCTAATGAAATTTATGCGCATTTATATTGGAATTAGTCCAATTAACGAAGCGTATCGACGTCGGCCGGGGGGGGAGAGGAGAGAAAATGGAGCAGAAAGCGGTCCTTCACCCCTGTCCTTACGCGTACGCGCGATTTTCAACGTACGTCGAGGACGATTGTCGATTAAATGGCCGAGCGCGCCGCGAGCTATCTCCGTCCGATCGCTCCGCGCACCTTTGCGCGCGTATTCTAAAGTCATCGGATGCTCCTGCCGCCTTTAAGCACGGCCGCGTCGCGCTTTCGCCTAGGCGCGCGGCGCGCCTCCCCGTCGCAGAGCTTAATTCGCGCCCGAGGGAGCGAATCCTCGCGCCGCGACCGACCAGAGAAAGCCGAAACTCGACGGGCAAATTCTACGCGGAATAAGTTATACGCGGAAATTCCAAGCCATGCAATGCCTCGCCATTGTATTCGCGCTGATATAGCGGCGAATCTCTCTCTCTCTCTCTCTCTCTCTCTCTCTCTCTCTCTCTGCTGCGCAGTAGAGAAGAGGCGGAAAAAAATCACCAGAGCCCGTATTCACGAAAGTCACAGGCGCATAAACACTACCACTGCTACAGCGGCTAGCCAGCGCAATGCTCTGATACACATTCATAGAGAGAGAGAGAGAGAGAGAGAGAGAGAGAGAGGAGGAGCAGTCGGAGGATCGCGTTACGTTTTGCATTATACGAATTGACCTCCTGCAGCTTTTGCTAGATTGCTGGTGGAGTTCCAGTTTTAACTCCCTTCCCCCTTCTTTCGCGTGCGTAAATTTATTTATTTTTTCTCTTAAAATAAACGATATTAAAATGTAACGATTTGAAAAATATATGGAAAATTTTTGTTCTTTTTGATAGATGCGCTGAATAAATTATATATTGCTAGCTAGTCTTCGGGTGGGATACCAGACGCAACCAACACACAGAAACTCTCATGAAAGTAATGTATCGTACTTTTAAAACGAAGAGACTATATTCAAATATTATTTAATAAGATTTAACGAAATCTGTGACAATAAAATTTGCATCTAACTTGCTCATTAGTTTAGCACAACGACGTCGACCATTAGACAAAGTATTATCGATTCTTCGAATAAAATTCCCGTGTACCGCCATTAAAATCCATTGGCCGTTTTGCAATTCTCATCGTTACTTCCATATCCAACAATCCCCAACAGTATGAAGGAAAAAAGAGGCAAGCGGGAGCAAACATTCAATCCACACTCCTATCGGTGGATCTCTTTCTCTCTCTCTCTCTCTCTCTCTCCGAGCATTCCGTTGAAAAGTTGCTGCACGCGGAAACAAGGCTGCTGCCTATTGCAAGGCGCTTTTTCAATGGCCGACGCGTTTACGGTGTCCGAATTCCATAGCCGCGCGAGCCGCTTTGCGTACATACGACGCGAGCGCGCGCTGAATTGTACATCCGCGGGCAGGTTCGTTTTGATCTCAAAGAGCCTTTCCTGTTTCGACACGCGCGCACGCGAGCTATTTTAATTGTCGCGGGAATCGCGCGCTGCCGGTGAAGATCGCGTGCTGCCCATCAGGGCGACCTCGAGGATATGACGCTGGCGGCGGTAGCCGCGCACGCCCGTAACAAAAGTGACGCGCGTTCCTGTTGCGCACGCGCCTCCTCCTTCGATCGTACGGGCCGCGGGCCGTTTCTCCGGAAAATTAGCCGTTTCCTCGTCTCTCCCCGCGCCGTTCGCCGATTTGCGCGCGGCGGCCTTGCGCACTGGAATCTTGCATTTTTTTTTTCAGTTTGGAAAATTGCGCTGCTGTGATTTGTGGGAAAAATAGCGCAACCTCGTCACAATTCTTCTTCCTCTCGCTCGCTCTCTTTTTTTATTTCATTTACGGACTTTCGACTCTTCAACGTTTAATCCGTGACGTTTCGTAAATAGTCTATAAGTCATTGTTGGAATCGAGGTCAGTTCAAGATCGCTTCTTTATCGCGTTAAAATTTCACTTACACTGACGCCATTACTCACGGAAATCGGTACTCGAAAATTTCTTCAATTGAGTAATGACCATTGGTTAGAAGGAGAAACGAATTGCTCGGGTGGAATTTTATGGATTATTTATTTTAAGCGCTGGAATAAAGCAAGGAGTAAAAGAAGTTAATGTTCCAAAGAAAGTAAATCCTGTTGCAGTGCAAAATCATAAAAGCACCGAAGCGTCTTCCCCCCGCCATTCATAAAATCGTCACGTAATCGTTAATTCCTGCTTCGTACAAACATTCACACCCAAAAGTGACGCTCGCAAGCAGCGAAAATAGCGCGAGAAATTCTTTCGCGGTATAGGATGACTAAATCGCGCGCGCCAGATGAATCAGGTGGGCGAGTCCCATTCACATGCCAAAGGCTCAATTCCCTTTTTGCGCCGTGAGCAAAAACCTTGCGAAGGCCATCGTCGCCTCTATACATTTTATTACGAGCTACGGCGTCGTTCCGCGCCTGCAAATGCTAATGCAGCCCGCGCGAATTCTTGCGAAACAGATCTCCTCTCGCTGCGACGTGTATTTTTGTCGCTGCTCCTCTCTCGTGCGCAC